TAATCAAATAAGGTTATTTTTAACAGCAGTATTCCCTTTACACAGTAGCAGTTATACAGTTATAATGATTCTGATAATAGATATTCAGCCGGTGTTCATAACTTTATCTTCATGTGTGTAAGAGATGCAATGTTAAATTCTCAGTAGCGATAACTAAATGATATGCTTATTATACATATTACAAACAAAACACTTTAAAAACTCGACAATATGTATTTTAATATTGTCACTATTGTAAATTGTTTGATTGCATGATTTACTTTTATTGTGAAGAGCATGAAAACGGAAGTGCTTTTACTTTGAAGAGACAGGAAGTAGAATGGTACGTGTTCTTTAAGCTAACAATATTGATGATAAGTAGAAAACCACTTGTCAGGTGCAAGAGCGTGTTGTGTTCACTGTAACACTGTAATACTGCAGTTCAGACAGTAAAGTGTTCCGTTCAAACAAGACGTGTCTTGGTCCTCACTAGGAGCTCCACTTCACAACAGTCACGTTTGATCTGGAACGAGACGATCGCGCTCGCGTGTGTGTGTGTTTGTGAGACAAGAGTGAACGACGGTGACTGAGTGTAGGAGGGGTTATGGACCCGGGGGGGGAGAAGGAAGTGACGCCACACGAACACAGCTGTTCACTGCTTGCTGCCTGGTTCTTGTGTTAAAAATGTGGCTTAATAATAAATAAATAAATAACTGCGTTAACGCGCGATATAATTGTCGGCGTTAATTAATGAATGCGTTAACGCGATAATAACGCGTTAACTTGCCCAGCGCTAGAAAAAATACAATCATTTTCACCCTCTAGGGGGCTCTGTGTTCATACCCTACCAGAAGATTTATTTCATTTTAAAATCAAATGCAACAATGTGGTGCACTTTGAGAGCAAAATTGAAGATGCGCTCTTGAACACGTGTGTCTGTGATTGAAGACGGGTCGGCGGGATCGCTGACATTGCCGCAGACCTGAGGACTGGCAGTCGTGCTGGGAGAGGTCACATGAGGAAGTCCTCCCATCCAGACCGTTCGTCCCTTTCCCACCGAAGTAAATCCCCCATGCGGACAGAGTGGACCCCACCCGTTGAGAAGTGTAAAAAGATTTTCGGATTGTTATGAAACCGTGGCGGGCCTACCGAGACTGTAGGTAATTAATGGGAAACACTGGATTGGTCAATAGAAAATGACAACCATGTGAGTTTTCCTTTTGAATCATGCAGGAAATATGTTGTAGCACATAGTGTTTGCCTTACTCGACATCACATGTCCTCGATGTGATGCACATGCACACATCTCGATGTCTTTGCTAAGAAGATAGATTGTGCAGCCCTACGGTGAGGTATCGACACAGGGAATGACCAATCATAACAGTAGACCAAAATCTGACACTGCTTCATTTACATTATTTCATTTAAAGCATCACAGGGTGGCAAGGTTGGTAACATTGTTGTACTAGCAGGACTTTGGATATGGTTCTAAGTTTGACCCATAAGAAGACAATTCAATTTTTCCTTTAAGGAAAAATATCGTGGCTATAAAACAGACTAAATGGACGTCATGGAACATATTTCTGAAAATATTTTTTAAATACTACCTCCTAGAGCCAAAGATCTGAAATGTTACATATACTGTATATCACAGTGGGCGTTTACGTATAAATCTATTACTCATTTGAAAATCAATCAACGTGGCCTGTTTTTTGTTTAGTAACAAAGTTATGCCTTTTTATTTACAAGAATGTCTTCTCCTTGGAGGGTATTCAGTGCATCCTGAACACTGTATCGTTCATTCTAAGCCACACTGCAAAAAAACAATGAAATTACTTTGAAATAAGATCAAAACAGGAGTTAAATCTCGTTTGTTTCTGTGTCTTATTTACTGATATGCAAAAATAATGTCACAATACACATTACTAATAATTGAATCAACATGACATTGTTTTATGTTCATATTTGTTTAAATGTCTTTTGAATTCAACAACAGAACATATTTTAATGAACAATAATTGAATTAGGTCAATGAATTGAGCAGCTCATTACTATTTGTCTTTATGTGACAAATACGTCACATCGGTTTTTCTGAGACTATTATAAGTTTAAAAGCCTGATGTGACATATCTGTCACAACAATATTTTCATAACTTTTTAAATACAAGTTAGTTTGACAAACATGGTTAGAACAGTTTAGATGTAATGTAGGACATGTTATGAAAGCATAAGAATTGTTAAATGTGTCTTTAGCAACAAAAACAAGCTTTATAGAATTAGACCAGCCAGGCAGCCATTTTGGAAGTGATGTCATGGGTACCCAAATTAACTGTCACATGACCTCACCAGGATATTCAGTATGTGTCACTTTGGGACTTCAAGAGTTAAAATCAAGGATAAAACTGTACAAGGAACTTTCCAGGATATTTAAAGTGTCTGTGACAACTGTGTCACCGCGGGTTCTTATGGGTCAATCAAGGTTCTTTTCTTATTTGTTTTAATACTTTCCTCCCAGCGCCACGCCTAATCACCAAATAAAGATAGAAAATGGAAAGAGAAGAAAAGAATCCTGGAAAGATAGCATTCTTGAAATGATCTGACCAGTGGGAAGCTGTCGGGAATGACCTGTGGTTCTGACTGCGCTGGAGGGCTAAATATTGTTCAAGTACAGTGTGTGGAAGCAGAAAGCAGTGGGAATTTTCAGTGCCCATATTTTCCCATCATTCTTTCGCCATGTAATGGCTCTGTGATTTACAACAATACAGCAGGAGCTCCGGGAATGGCCCGGCCGTTTTTACACCGTACACTCATTAGCTGCTCAGTGGAGGGATTTGTGCAAACCACTTTATGTGAAAGCAGCTGCCAGGCTTTGTAACCAGTAGGGACGAAGGACAAAGGAAGCAACACCTCTGAGAGAGATTGTCATGCTTTTAAGGGTCCCAGTTGGCTACAGAGCAGGCAATTGTCAACCTCCAAGAAGGCCAAGTGCCTGTCAATTTACCTGCTTTCTTCTCTTTCTTCTCTTGATGTTCTCCCTGGGGCCTACGGATGCTGGCTGAGGCCAGATGATATGCCAACCCTTGATCGTTTTATTCCCCGTCATTTACATATTCACTTTGTTCTGTGTTGCATAATATTGGAAATCACGTCTTGCTGTTGAAAAAGGCACCTCTGTAAGTACAGCGTACAGATGCACAGGGTTTTTAACCAAGAGCATGCCATTGAAACAAAGACGACTTTAAAACACTCAGTGCCCAAATATCCTCCATAAAATCATGGGCAAGATCAACGCTGTTAGCATGCTTCTCATTTTAGCAAGCTAGCCTCATGGCTCTTCTGGGGCGATGTCATTCAGCCGGTCAGTCCCCCACTTTGGTCCAGACTAAAATACCTTGTTTGATTGTAGCACATTTAGTTTGAAGGACATTCATGGTTCCCAGAGGTTACATCTTAATGACACATACATGTTGCCGCTAGGATGGTTTGTAATAGCATTAGACATCTCTTATTTTTTCTTCTTGTGCCATCATCAGGTCAAAACTTCAAGTATGACCAAATACCTGCAGAGCTAATGACATTCCCATCAGCCTCAGCTATACTTTGTGTTTAATGCTGATTAATACATGCAGGCATGCAAGACACGTATCACCTAGTTACCTATAAACACGTATCATTCGTTTACAACAATCACATATAGCACAATAACAAACAACCTGAGAGACATCTCAAAAACCTGTGTGTGTGTGTGTGTGTGTGTGTGTGTGTGTGTGTGTGTGTGTGTGCGTGTGTGTGTGTTGTGTAGCACCAATGTAATCTTCGGCTGTTGTTTTTTTCTGCTTTTTCGCATGGTGGATTATTAGATGTAAATCTCTCCAGCACTGCGGTATTGTACAGTAAAATTGATTTGGACAGGTGACTTCATCGAGACAGACAATCATAAGCTGCAACACAGCCGACGGAAGCGAGGCTGTTTATCACGGAGAGGGAATTAACTTCAAAGGGATTTGGAAATGTCCATGTTGAATGTGGGCTTGAATATGAATTATGCATGAAAAATGCTTCACTCTAGAGTAATGTGCTGACACAATTTGTCACACGCCACAGGAATACATAAGTTGCAGAGTAGCCACGTTGAAGGGGTTGATGTTGGTGGTGTGGTGACTCTGGGTCGGTGGAGGTTGTGCAGCTGTGTAACCAACACTGGCCGCACGGTGAATAACTTATGAGACCCTTCTTCAGCTTGAGAGGAAGCTGGGAGCCCTGATATACAGTAGCTTTGACTTTAAATCTGTGAGTGTGTGTGTGTGGAGCAGTGGGATTAGAAGGCTTGGCTTGAAGCCATGTACCATCCCCAAGCATCTTTAAAGGCCTGTCCTGTCAGTGTCGGGAGAATGCACATTTCAGATCAGACTTTTTTGACGGAGAATAAGGTAAACCACAGCAAGGATTTCAGACACTCAGTCAAAAGTCCACACTTGCCCCTTAAGTCAAAAAAGCCATGCAAGATTAATCTATTCAAGGTGCTCATAAGCAAAGTGTGAGACAACCAAGCAGAGCTGAGAAACGCCGAAGTGCCAACAACTGCAGTTCTTCAAATGGCCACTTGAGACTGGCTTCAAAAGTGTGTAAATCTCTGTTGACCTCCAAGTTAACTGGCCAGCTTTACAGAAGAAATAAACATGTTTACAGCCCAGTACAAATAGTCTCTATAGCTAATACACCCGTTCATGACATCTGTAGGGAACATGACGTTTTATAGAACCCATTCAAATTATATTAAGGCTGAAAGTTAGGCATGATTGAGGCCGTGAATGCTTTGAGTGAGGGGGGGTCGCTAGCTGCCAGCTGTTTGCTCTGCTGCGTCAGAGTCAAGCCGTCAAGATGCGACGAACCGGAGAACCAATACTTCCTCTGTAATTTAGTATAAAATGTGCCTCTGCACAGTTTCCTGTCAAGGCCTCCAATGTAGTATAAGTATAAGAATCTGACTTACTTACTCACCATGTGCATTAAGTGATTTTTACATGCAAAGAATAACCTGGCTATAGGTCTTATTCAAATGAAGGTCTTCTTTGTGACAGAGCTTCGTTGTACAATGGCAGTAAATGAGGCCAGGCTGGGCATCCATGTCCACACCTGTCAGCTGTGATGGAGAGAGAGAAAAGGTTGGCGGACACACTGCAGAGACCTGCGTAACCTGACAGGTATGTCGGGAGCCCAGCGCTGTGCTCCTCTGTGCATCTTATCAGAGAACTGACATTTCAACACATAGCACCCGCATTTTGTTTCCTCTGATAGTTTGACAATCTGTCGGATATTTTAGCTAACGGAAGGGGGATGCCAAAAAACATGATTTCCTCTGTGGCAAAACAGCTTCCATAGCTTTGTCAGAAAGGTACACTCGTGTCAGGGATGGAAAAGCCAATACATCTTGTTTTAGAGAACAAAAACATGTAAAGATGATTGCAAAGTTTCCATCCAGCTTCATTAACTTTGTTTCTCTGCATTGAAGCAGGAAGTTGTGCAGAATGAAGTCAATAAAATTGGATTGAAAGCCATTTATTACTCTTTCATTCCCCCATGCGCGACGATACTGAAGCCGTATGAATGATTTGTTTGTCTTTTTAATTCCTACATTTTTGTGAGTTTGGCTCAGAAAACCTCGTAGCTAAAGAAGGTTTAGTGCACTAAATTATTAAATAGCTTTATGTCTGATTGTATATGCTGCTACGCTGCTGCTTTCTGCCACATTAAGCTCTCGAGGAAAACACCACGACAGCTTGTTATGCTGTAGCTGTTTTGTCCTTGCGGGACACACACAGCAGGATGTCCCTTTCACAGAGCCGACTGCGATTACTCTGCGTACTTCACCTGAAGACAACGTGCAATTCCCACCGCACTGACAGAAGAAACGTGCATTTATTATGTGAAGTAACAATAAAGCAACACAAACAATGCTCACTGTCAATCTGACGGTTACGCCGTCACTGTCTATCCCCACTGGGGCACAGCGCAGGTTTCCTCTTGATTTATTTCCTTCTGTGCTGTTAAAGCACTGGAGCGCTGGGGACACTGTTTGTACCGTCGATGAGATAGACAGCTACTTGCTTATGGTGACATGGTCCTCAGTGGGTTGAGCGATTGAGCTTGTGAGTATATCAGCTCTGAGTGGAGATGGGGACAGCGATTGTGCGAAGATGAAGTGATGAGATTAGGCCATTTGTTGGTCCAGGCTGCTGATAAAGGCTTCTACTCACCTATTCAATCACACAACAACAGGGATTAGACGGTAACCTTTTGACATTGGGCCAATAAAACATGCTGTGTCACAGTTCAGCTCCACACCCTCCTCACTCTACTTGTCAGTCACTCCCTCCTCATCAGTCTAAACTCCCTTCACCTGTTCACTCACCTGCCTCTGATCAGTAATCAAGCCCCTATATAGACTCCTGCCTCCCAGACACATTTGCCAGATTGTTCTTCGGTTTTCCATGCCAGACTCTCCAGCACGCTCTCACAGACTGATCTCCTGTTACCGACCCTGTTTGCCCCTGTTCTACCCGTCTTGCCTGACTCCCGGTAAACCCACCAGCCTTCTGATCCTGATCCTGTTTTACTCTGCCTGCTGTATCTGGAAACCCTGCCTGCCCCTGTTTTACCTGCCTTGCCTGACTCCCGGTAAACCCACTAGCCTTTTGATCCTGACCCTGTTTAAACTCTGTCTGCTGTTATCGAAGTTTGTAATAAAGGGTCAAAGATCCCTGGAATCCTGTGTGTTGCATTTGGGTCCATATACAACCCGTTACATGCTGCTGTACTCTAAATCTCTACCTTGTCGATAATGCAATTATTATATTACTGATGCGTATAAATGTATTATGGTTTTTCATCCTATCTCCAGATTTTTGTCTCTTGAGAGTTATGGATCACTGACAAAACTAATCATCTCTAAGAGTCACTTCAGGTTTTGCACTTCCATCGTTGATTCTGTGTTACATACTGTGTGACAGGCGAGGCACCCAGCCACTCAAAAGAGTAGCCTGTACAACAGGGCTACACAACCAAACACAGATATACTGTGTGTCCTGTTTTGCTACAAAAGAAACGCACACAAAAGCAGAACTATATTTCATGGTGGAGGGTGAGTTAAGGAGTCTCACAGCCAGAGAAAAGAAGCTGTTCTGAAGTCTGGCGGTCGGGCAGCTGTTCTTCTGTGTCTCTTTCCAGCAGCAGGGGGAACAGGTTATGTCTGGGTGGGTTTAGTCATTTTTTTTTATCCTTTGTGCTCTTCTCAGGCTCCTTGTCACCAATATGACTGATGCTCAGTAGATGGTACCAACGAGGTTCTGGGCATTGGTGATCACCCGCTGTAGAGCCCTCCTGTCCTGGGCCCGTGCACGTCCAATCCCTGTTATCACGAGGAATGATGAAGGGGGACCAGAAACAGTTATTACAGGCTGGTCTCCTCCAGCATTCATAGCTAAACCTACAAACAAGAATGCGCCGTAATTCGTCGGTATCTCACAGAATCACTTTGTTACCCTCGTAACCATGAATATGGAAGTATAAAGACCACCAGCAGTACGGTGGATTGGTCCAATAGACATCTTTCAGCATGGAGCCTGTTTGTTCCCCGTGTGAAACGACAAGTCAACATTGATTTATTTGTCACTTACCTTGCATACTTTTAACCCAAACGACGTCTTTTCCTAAACCTGATAAATAGTTTTGTTGCCTAAACTCAACTGAGTTCTTTCCTGTAAAGACAGGAAGTTTATTTTGAAAAGTTTGCGCATGTAACTGGCTTTAAGAAAAGACGACCAAAACTGAGGAGTGACATGGTGTATAATTCAAATTGTTAGGATACGTTGGTTATTTTGGGGGAAGTAGTGCACATCTGTGACATGTTATTTGTGACTACGGCACTAACGCATGACATGTTTCTCATATATAATCTTCTTATTGCAGATTTAACTGAATATGCATCACTGTGACACACCTGACCCTTTCCTCTCTCTCTTTCTCCAACAGTCTAAAGAACCAGATATGTGTCCAGTGAGCGTGGGCCGAAGATGTAAAACCCAACTGTTGGATTGATGTCAGACAAGCTGTGGTCAGCTTGCCCTGCTTTTCTCTGCCTCTGCCCTGCTTCTGCTCTCCTCCACATTATTTTCTCTCTCTCGTCTATCTTTCACTCAATTCCAGCCGCCCTGACAAGGAGGAAAATGAAGAGATTTTTTTTTGTTGCAACACTCCAGCACCTGCATCCACTCTCCGACCTGTCAGTATACAGTTTAAACTGTTTCTCCACTCTTCAATCATTGAAACTTTGTCGTTCCACTGCAGCTGTGGTTTTCATCCACTGACGACCTGAGCGCATTAAAGTGGATCTGATACACAGCAGCCTTTCTAAAATTGCATGGATTGAATTTCAATTCATTTTCTTTCTTTTTTGAACTTTGTCTTAAATGAAACATATTTATTTGAAATTAAAAGGATAATATATATTGTGGGCTTTAACTGTGTCAATCATTCTCAGCTTTTGTATGCTACACGCAGTGCAACAGAGATGTTTATTTTGTTGCACACATGCCTGCGGTGGAGCGAAACCCCCTTGTGTCTTAATGGGGTTGATGGCAATAATGATACAGGTCAGACTCTTACTATGTGTTCAAATGGTTCTACAAGCTTGACTCCTGTCTGACTCTGGTAGAATTAATAACGTGTCTGCATCTACACAGACACAGACGACCATTTTAAAGCTTATTTATCACACGATTACATTTATTTTTCATAATATGAGTAAGAATACCTTTGCCCTCACACAGTTGATGTAGTACGGAAGCCTGTTAGGGCCAGGCATGAGGGGAAAGTTGAGAGGTTTTTTTTCTATTTTGCATCTTGAGAATAAAGTTGAAATATCAGGAATAAAGTTGAGATTTCAGTCTATGAACCAACACTAGCAGTGTTAGGTCTGTTTATTCTCCATGTTTCATATTTATCCTTAAAATGCTATTTTTGACTTTATTCTTAACATTTCCACTTTATTGTACAAATGGTACTTTGACTTTATACTCAACAGTTTGACTTTTTCTCCAAATGCAAAATAAATTCATGAACAAAACTTCCTTCGCTGATTTATATTTTCTTTATTTCTGGCTCTGTTACTGAAACTTCAACCTTATTCCCCAAAAAACTGGTTTTAGATAATTTGACTAAATGTCAGACTGACTGCTCAGGGTTCTTGTTGTAGCGATTCCAACAGAAATGATGTCCAATGCTACACAAACGAAACTTCAGTTTAGATAAACCAACAGAAAGATTCCTCCAGAGTTAAACACAAAGTTAAACATTTGGGTAGCACTTTATGAACATACGGACAATTTAACAATACTTAGTTAGTAATCTGCTCACAATTTTATTTCAAAGCACACATTTTATAATGACTCATAAGGTAAAGTATTATAATACTTTATGATTTGCAAGGATCATAGTGTATTATAGTCTTTGACCTCATAGTAATTATAAAAGTATTTATAGTGTGATTATTGTTATAAAGCATTATGCGTATTTAAGAGTGCTCGTAACTATGATTATACATGCCATGAGGAGATTATGACATAAGTTTGTCTATAATGCATTCAGGACATGGTGTCATAGAGCGTGTTTCTCTTGCAGTCTACTGTACGCGGTCAGGGTAGATGTGTCCTCTGGTTCAGATGCTTTAGTGTAAGCTTGCCTTCATCTCAGGGAGGTGTAAGTGTTCTAGTGAAACGTAATACTGCTGAGAGTTCATTCAACTACAGAGTCTTGTAGAATGTGTTGGTAGAATGTGAAGGTAAAATGGACTGAACCATAACTGTTATGGTTTCAAAAAGAATATTGATATAGTGGAGTGTTTTAAAGGGTAATTCAACTATATATATATATATATATATATGTTGACTTTAAGAACAGTGTTGTATAAATGAGAACATATAAGATTATAGATGAATAATATTTGTGGATCAGATAACGTTGCTCTGTGTTTACACGAAGTGATTTCTTCTTCTGTTATTTCCATTGCTGTGTCCACTCCAGAACAGCGTTTGATCAAAATGTAGCTTTGACTCGTGTCGTTGAAGCGCCGTCGCAGAGACTCTTTAGTTTACTGACCGCTGAGATCACTGGAACACAAAGCTGGACATTTGTACTGCAGTGAAAGAAAGAAACCCTCAAAACAAATCATGGACTGAAAAGGAACTGTTTGCTGGCTGATGTCAGAGCCGCCAGCCAACGTGTTTTTTTAAAAAAAATATTGCAAATAAGAAGTGCACGAATGATTAGTTATTGCAAGTGAAAAAGAGAAATCTCCAGTGAAACGCTTCGCTCAGCCGGAGTGATAACGTTTGCGTCCAGAGGTTGCTTTGGATTAGCCGCCTCCCCTTCATCACAGGAAGCCCGCCTCTCTTCCTCCTCTCATCCCCTGTGCTCTGGGTTATGTGCTCTGTTGTGTCTGAGACCAGAATAAAAGACACATGCATCTACACTAACTCGCCTTTGTGATGTTTCTGTTTGATAGTTCATGATAATAATAGTTGTGTCTGTATGTCTTTAAAGTCATTATTGTTTGAACACGTTACACACCAACCGTCAGAAGGAAAACATCACTACACATAGCACCATCACGGCTGCACAGTTCTCTTCAGTTGTTGTTTTAATGACATCACATATTTTACAATGTTTAATCAGTAATAATTGAGTTAGTTGATCAGTTATGTTATTATTATATCAAATACATACTGTAATGCCCGGTTCTAAAGGAGTCATATCACCAAAATACTTTTGCAAACAAGATAAGTCGACGTCTTACTGTTTGCTGTCCCGAGTTCTACAAATGAAACCTGCCGCTGTTAAGGTTCCTACGTACACCGATGACACTCCATTGACAGAAATGTTCACTTTAGCTCGTTGGTCATTGAAAAACACCTCATTTAGACCGGACAGAAACAAAATAAGAGACGTCAGAATGGCTTTCTTTTCTTAGCTTTTACTCTGTTCCAACAATCCCCAGCTCTGGTTTGAGAGTGAAAGAGAGACTGCTGAAAGTAAAAGACATAAAAAAAAGGCGTAACATTTTCCCCGGCCTCTATACTGCTCTCTGCTTTTCTCTAACTCTGTTTTCTGGCATGTTTGTGACAGAATGTGACACACCAGGAAGCTTTCCCGGGTTTAAAACATCATATATATACATCATATATGTGCTCATTGTGATTAAAACGCGGCCTTACGGTACATTTACCAGGGAAATGTTCCAGCAGGGTTGTGCTCCGTGTGTCCGGACCCATCAAGACAGATTTTTCTAATCAAGCTCTGCAGACATCAGTGGCCCACCAGGAAACACGACTCATTAATTCACTCTTTTAATATTTGAATAATAGAATGGAAATGGGAAAGGTTCCCAAATTGGTTAATGCATGAGGAGGCGTGTAGGGAAAGAAAGCCGGAGTGTTACTGAGGTATCTGTACTGACCTCTGAGGCCTCGTTAGAATTCTCTTTACACAGTGAGGGATCAGACTGCATTCATCAATGACACCTTCTTAAGCAGAGCCATCAATCAAAATGTGAACAGATCATAACCCTGCATGGGTTATTCTGGGACAATTTATTTTAATGATTAATATTAGGAAACTTTTTATCTTTTTTTTTAAAAACCCTCAAAAGTTGGGATCATTGAGGACCAAGCTGTGTTGTGTAGATACACTTTAAACCTCCTGACTGCCCAAATTATACCTGACGTGTAAGAATCCTTTTGATGTGGGGAAATCTGGGTTCCAGCGGTGTAATCAGATCATCTCTAATGTAGTACCTGAGCATGATAAGAGCGAGAGAGTGGAGACGCAGCCCGCAGGCTGAAAACATCTTAGCCAGGGAAGTTGGTGGGGGTCGGTGCAGTTCTGTCCCTGCCTTTGAAAGCCCAGGAGGATGCTTGTATTGAGCACCGGGGCTCAGGAGTGTATGGGCTTTGACCCTCACATGTGTGAACACTCCCAGTCACTTTGAGCCATGAGAGAGAACAAAATGGGGGCAAAGAGATGAGAGAAGAATGCATGGATCTGGGCCAGAACCCCACCAATCTGGTACGAGTCCCCGATGAATTCCTAGTATCCATGGAAAATATGTGGAAGTGCTCGTTTCCATTAAGGAGAGGTTTAAGGAGCTTAGCTGAAGCACTGTGTGCCAGACTCCACACAGATACCATTGTTGGGATCTGACTATATGGCTTCGACATGTGCTGTGGAACAAAGAGAGTCAGGCCTTCCCTTTTGCAAGCAAAGGTTTCATCCTGATTGTAGTTTGATGAGCACCAAACCCCAGCTCTGAAGAAATTCACATTAGGGTGTGAGTTTCCTCCCCCTAAAAACTATGTGTTCCTGAAGTTACCTGAAAGCAGCGCTGCAATCTAATTGGCCGAGAGCCAAGACACCCCAGGACCCCTGTGGTTCAGCCACTGTTCTACAAAACTACCAGCAACCCCCACCTCAATGCTTTTTCCATCGATCCCTCGGGGTAGCAGGAGGCACACATGCAACGTTGTTCTTCTTTTTAATCAAAACCTAGGTCTAACAGTTTATATTCGCTGGCCGAATTCATCAAACTGTCTATTTTATCTTTGTTCGTATCCACGAAGCGAACCCTTTTATTCCTGCAGAAGTGAAGAAGCAAGACTTCTTCAGACAGAGAGAGAGAGAACTTCCACTCTCCACACTCCACCAAGCGCCTCGTCTGCTCTGGCCATAAGGACGCAAAAATCCCTTATCCAGACGACAGCGATTCTCTCCTACCGAGAGAACACCTCCCGCGGGCCGCTGCCCGAGCCCACGGAAGCTCAGAAGAATCCCCCCCTCAACCAACACGATCGCATCGTACCGTAAGGCGAAATAGAGTCTGGGCAGAGTTAGAGAGAGTTAATTTGTGTTTATTTTATCTTGTTTGTGTGCTTAAAGTACTGTTCATTTTTATAACGTGGTGTATGCTTTATGATCACCGACACTGGCAATCGCTGAAATTGCTAGTGTTGTGTAGAAGTTACGTGTATTCCATGCTACTGTGATTCGTGTCGAGACAGCCGCAGTGAGGTCGGGGACTGCGTCTCAGGTCAGAGGTCGGAACCGCGTCTGTGACAAAGAGCCCGGTTCTTGCAGTTTACCGAACTCCAGCGCGGCGCAGAGGATCTTAATCTTTTGTTTCATTTTATTTTGTTTTGTTCCTTTCCCTTCTCTTTCACTAATCCACACACACATATAGCTTTGAGCTAATGTAGCTACGTGCTAAACGGCTACCGGCACGTATAGACGCTGGGTCTTCTGTTGGCTATCCGCCATTTTGAGTCTCGCGCATGAGAGACTTCATCACGTTCCAACTACGTCATACGTCGCTGAGCTGTTCCCTCGCTCCTCCCCCTACGCGCACACACACACACACATACTCTCTTTTCAATAGTCTGTTGATTTTAGATAGCGTGCTCATAAATGTATAGTTGTTGTTAGTGTAGATATTAGTTGACTAGATCATTAGTATTAGAACGTAATAAACTCTGTTATATTTTAAAGAGCAGCTGTCTGTGAATACTTTGTGTATTGTGATAATAGCTGATATGTGGTCTGCTCGAACTTAAACCTTCACTTTCACTCTGAATGTGTCATAGTACTCAGACTATTGACATTGTGAGTGAACACTAATTATGAGACTTAGTTTATTGTTTGGTTATTGGTCCCTGTTCGCAGGGTGGTGCCCCGTTATTATTAATAATCATTAATAATTGTTACTGACATTAATAATTCTATTGATGTCAAGAATTTAGTTTCTTAGATGCTGATAACCCAAACACGCTCCTTTACGTTCCCAACATATTGCTGATAACCCGTGTGAGGCTATGTTATTCCCAACACCATCTTCTTCAATTGAAATGCAATACACTTTATGCATTTAGTGTGTCATAATTAAATGAAAAGCATGTTGAAAGGTAAAACATTGAGCTCTTAGTGTTTAATAACTGAATGAATTGTTGTTCACGTTGAAATCTAATCAGAGCATAGAGCAGAAAGTGAGGAGGTTTCTGGGCAACATCATCCTGTAATTAT